GTACATGAGAACCAACAACTGAGTAATTCACTTTCCGGTGTCTTAAGCTAAAAGAAATGCTATGATACTAAAGCCATGAAAATGTATTAATCGAATTTCATTAGTGCCAGGTGTTACATAAATGAGAAGTTATTAAATAATTTTAAACCTAGTTTCTCTTTAATCCAATATATGTAGAGAGTATTTATGACAATGTTTTGACAACAGAGCTTGTGTCTTCAGATTCAAATGTGAAACAGATTTGTTTCAGGATGAGCTTTCATGGCTACTTACAAAAGGAGAAAAAAATGTAGGAACAAATTAAAGGAAAATTCTCTGATAGCATTGGGATGGATACCTTTCTTTTAAACGCAGCTCATCATTCATCTTTGTAAGCTGAGCAGAACTATCACCTGATGACTTCATTATTTCTGCTATATCATTCTCAAGTTTGGCTTTAGCTTCAGTCAACTGCTGTTCTTTTTCTTCTCTCTCTTTCAATTTTTTCTCCATAACTGTACATAAAAAAGTTATTACAATAAATTTAATTCAAAGCCACAACACACCTAGATGCTAATAAGAGACTCTAAACACAATCTTAAGCTGTTGCGATAAAACTAGCATGCTGAACTTCCAAAGCTAAAAGTCACATTTGGGATTCAACTAAAAATTGTAGGCTCTGGAGCACTTGCCCTCTTTGATCCCCTCCCCTGTCAGAGGGCCTGCTAAAGAGTAATGGAAACTTATAGAACTCCCAACAGAAAACCACAACATTGTACATGGAGAGACACAGGAAAAGCCATTCATCAAGAATACAACTTTCAGTCTCAGCTTCAGTATAACTATAGGTGCCAGGCTGTTAAGAATTGATACTGGGCTTTACCATTAGGAAAGAAATCCAGCAGGAACACTGGGCACACTCAACTCAAGTTACATGTAGCTTTCAAAAGGAGAATATTAAACCAATTGGTTTTTAGAGCAGTGTACACACAACAAACAAGGAGAGCAACCTCAAGGCTCTGTAGAAAGTAGTTCCACATACATACAGCCCAGTAACTACTTCCAAAGAAAAAAGTAGGAAGCAGGGCTTAGTTGGCTTCCTTTTATATACACATCAGGTCAGTTAAAAATGCCGTGAGATTAGGTGGATGTGTGTAGCAGGGAATGGTGAAACAGAATATGTGACGGGACGGCCATGTGCAGCTTGAAGGTCATAGACATTAGAAAGAAGTTAACAACCAAATCAAAAAGGATACTTTGCATCTAAATAGGGTTCATACTTTTTACATGGCTGTCACAGGCACATGCTATTTAAATGTTGCATTTCATGAACACATTGAGGGTATCTCTGCCATATGCTCTTTATGTCAGTGTGTACAATGCATATACTATTCACCCCCTTGCAGAGTTATACATAACTATGTAAATAGTGAGCCTCTCTTTAGGCAAGTAAACAATTGCCTGAGCCTGCAGGGTATGCATGCTACACATCTCTCTACAGGACCAAGCTGTGTCTACCCCTTCCCCCAGATATTTAAGGCCCTAACAAAATCATGGCTGTGAAAAAATGTGTCAGGCTGAAATGTGGCCTCCCACCGAGGAAACTGGTCTTGTGTACTTTTACCTTGTACTATACAAATTTCACAGGGAGACTAATGTTACTCAAATTGGAGGTTATGACCCAAGAAGGAGTTGCAGATGAAAGGGTGGGCTCTGCAAGGTAATTTTAGGGAGATCACAGTATTGCCATCTTGACTTCTGCACTGCAGTCAGAACTGGGTGCCCTGAGAGCAGTGGCTCGTGGATAGGCATCCAGCTCCGAAGGCAGCACTCCACCACCAACAGCAGAGAAAGGTGGCAATACAATAGCACTGCAAAAATGAGGGTGGCATGGTATGCTGCTGCTGGCAGTGGTGCTGCCTTCAGAGCTGGGCTCCTTCTCAGCAACTGCAACCCTCTAGCTGTCCAGCTCTGAAGGCAGGACTGCCACCTGCAGCAATGCAAAAGAAAGGGTAGGCATGCCATAAGTACCGACAACAACTTTGCAAAAAAAATCCCACACACTCTTTTTTGGGTCAGGACCTCTACAATTACATCATCATGAAATTTAATGTTTAAATAGCTGAAATAATGAAATTTGCTATTTTTAAAATCCTGTGTCCAAAATGGTCTGTGAATTGGAAGGCCCTACTGATATTTTACAGAGTACAATCTGGACTGATGGACACTATATCCCCTCAATTCTCCAAGCTGGGATGATTGGTTTTCTAAAGTTGTAATATGTCTCTAATGTCATACAGCAGAATCTTATAACTATACATACAGTGTTGTCACACATTTTACCAAAATAATTGGTAAATTATGGTAACATGTGTTTTAAAGTTTTGTACAAAATCCATTATAACTTTGTAAAAAGGGTGAGGGGAAGATTACTCACCCTGTGCAGTAACTGGAGTTCTTTGAGATATTCCTACGGGTGCTCCACTTAGGTGTGTCAGTGCCACTGTGCACATGGCCAGGAGATCTGTTAGCAATCCCCCGGCTGCTGGCGCATGCTTGACAGATACGCACCGGCTCAGATACCCAGATTGACAGATACGTGCCGGCGGCCGTTCCCTCCATTCCTTCTCTATGCCAGACTGTGTTAGCCCAAAGCAGAGCGGAGGAGGGCAGGTGTGGAGCACCCATGAGGACATATCTCGAAGAACTCCAGTTATTGCAAAAGGTGAGTAACCCTCCTTCAAGGGTCCCAATGGGTGCTCCAATTAGGTGACTATGCATCAGTGTACCTGCTTGGTGGTGGGTGCTCCGTGATGCAGGACTGGATGTTGGACAGGACCTTACATCCAAATTTAGTGTTAGAGTCCTGAAAGGTCTGAATAATGTTACGTTGTGCAAAAGTTATTGACCGAAGCCCATGTTGCAGCTCTGCAAATAGTGTCCATGGGAAGATCCTTAAGGAAAGCAGTCATGGTAGATACTGCTCTTATGGAGTGCCCCCATATAACTGTCAGTGGCTGTCTCCGTTTCTGGGAGTAAGCCAACCATATGCATATAGAAATCCATTTGGATATTTGCTGTTTGGAAACAGGTTGACCTCTAGACTTGTCTGTGCAAGACATGAGTCTGGGTGTTCATCAGAAGTCTTTTGTGCATTCCAAGCAGAAAGGCGGCTACTGCCCTGTGTACAGCCAACATGTGTAACTGACTGTTTGTTGGCCTCATATGGTTTAGGGAAGAAAACAGATAGGTATATTGGTTCATTATAATGGAAGGAGGTAAGTATCCTGGGGAGGAATTTTGGGTGGGTTCTAAGGACGACCGTGTCCTTGTGGAAATATGGTGTACAGTGGATCTGCCATGAGTGATGTTCTCTCTCCCACTCTCCTAGCTGATGTTATTGCTATGAGAAAGGCTACTTTCATAGATAGGTGTAGTAGTGAGCAAGCTGCAAGTGGCTCGAAAGGTGGTCTCCTGATTGAGTCCAGCACGAGGTTCAGCTCACATGATGGCACTGGATTCCTACGTGGGGAATATAGGTTCCGTATTCCTTTCCAAAATCTCTTGACAAATAAGTGGGGAAAAATGGAATACCCGTGTATGGGTGTGTGAATCACTGATATAGCTGCTAAATGTATATTGATGGAATTAACTGATAATACTGTGTTCTGCAGGATATATTCCAGTCAGGATATCACCCCATCTTTGTGTGGCTCCTGCGTGTGAGCCGAATTCCATGCTGCATACCTAGCTCGCTTCTGCAGGTAAGATCGTCTCATAGGGGGTCTCCTGGAATTAATTACAATGTCTCTGATTCTTCAAGGTGAAACAAAACACAGGACTATGCAGTATTTTAAAAGACTAACAAGATGGTTTATTAGGTGATGAGCTTTTGTGGGCCAGACCCACTTCCTCAGATCAAATAGTGGAAGAAAATTGGCATGACCATATATACCAAAGGATACAAAAATCAAATTTCAGAACAGAAGGGGGATAAGTGGGGGGGAGGTAAATGTCTGTGAGAAGCTAATGATATTAGAGATAATTGGGGAAGCTATCTTTGTAATGGGTAAGGTAATTAGTATCTTTGTTAAGACCTAGGTGTAAAGTGTCAAATTTAAGCATGAATGACAGTTCAGAGGATTCTCTTTCAGGTCTGGTGTTAAAATGTCTTTGAAGCAGGATGCAAGTAATCAAGTCATTGAGACAATGCCCTTTCTGGTTGAAATGGAAAGAACCTGTTTTTTCTTTGTGATCCTGTCTAATATCGGTTTTGTGGGCATCAACGGGGTTAGCTCTTTGAAGGAGAGCCAACAAGCATCCAGGCTCACAGGTTTAGTGAATGTAGCCAGGGGCGTGGTATATGCTCCTTATCTTGAGTCAAATGAGCTCAGTACAAGTTTCCTTCAGTATGCTGACGTGCTGAGTTGGAGTATGTTAGGATACCAAATTTGTCTCTGCCAATTGGGGGCTTTTGTTGACGCCAACGATTGTTCTGGGTCGCCATGATCAAACAATCATTGAGATATGGAAAAAATGTTTGTCTTCTTCCCAGGTATGCAGCTACCGTGGATAATACTTTGGAAAAGACTCTAGGTGGTATGGACAGCCCAAAGGGGAGCATCCTGTACTGATATTTTAAGTCCTTGATAGTGAACCTGAGGAATCATCTGTGAGCTGGGTGAATAGATACATGAAAATATGCATCCTTCAGGTCGAGGGTAGCTAATCATCTCCTTTCTCTAAGGCAGGTATGATCTTTGCCAGTGTGACCATCTTGAACTGTTGATACTTAATGAACCAGTTGAGCCCAAAGTTAGACTGGCTTCCACCTCCCCACCCCCGATTTCTTGATAGTTAGAAAGTTTCAGAGGGGTACTTCCTTTATAGCACCTAGTTCTAGGAGGCACTGAGCTTCTTCCAGGAGGACCAATTTGTGAGAAGAGAGTCCCTGAAGAGGGATGGGTTAGGCGTGGAAAGGGGGGGGTTGGTGTAACTGTTGTGAATGGTATGCAGTATCCGGTTCATATTATTTCTAGGACCCACTGGTCTGAGATGCTGGTTTTTCATACCGGGTAGAATGCGGCAAGTATTTTGGAATATTTGTTTGCTTGGTTGTACCTGCTCTGGAGCATTGAGGGGTTTTGTACCCTAAACAAAATCCTCAAATTTGCTGATGTGAGGGGGATGCTTGGGTCAATGACTGCTCACTTGAGACTGTCGTCGAGTTTCTCACGCGCCTCTTGTTCTCATAGGGCCTTTGCTGTTGTGTATACCCTTGCACTCTGAACATTTTGTTATATTGTTTGTATTGTTTTCTCTTGGCTCCAGGTGGCTATATTCCTGGTGGCTATATTCCTAATGTGCGGAACTTTGCCGTGGAGTCCTTCAGTGCGTGGAGAGCTGAGTTTGATGACTCTGGAAATAGTTTCTCACCCTCAAATGGCTGATTCTCAATGTTTGATTGAACCTCCCTGGGGAATCCCAACAGCTGCAGTCTGACATCCATCTCATCACTACTGCCAATGGCATCAACCTGGCCGCTGTGTCTGCTGCATCTAATGCTGCCTGTAGAGCTGTTGAGAGATTAATGATCGATCCTTCTCTGATATTTGATTTGAACTGCTCCCTTACATCCTCAGGTATATATTGAATAAAGGAACTGAATGATTCAAACATGTTGTATGAATATTTGGCTAGCAGAGCCACAGTTTGCAATTCTCAGCTGAAGGGAGGCCGCCTTCTCCATAGCATCCAGCCTTTTTATCTCTATCCTGACTTGGAGTTCTGGGGTACTGTTGTTGCTTCCCTCCCCCCCAATTGGCTGCTTCGTCTACTAGTGAATTAGGAGAGGGGTGAGAAGAAGAATTCGACCTCTGTGGGGATGACGTAGTATTTCTTACCGAGGTGTTTGTTTTTTGTTTTGTTTTTTAAATGTTGGAGGCGCCGATGCAGGAGTTTTCCAGATGGACTTGGCAGGATCTATCAAGTCTTCATTCATTGGTAAAGCCAGCCTGGTATGTTGAGGTAAGCTGAGTGTGCTCGTGAGTTTGTGTTTGTTCTGTGTTACGTCGGAGATTTTTTTTTATGGCAAGTGTGTCTGCTACTCTCCTGAGTAAATCTTGGAACCCTCTGGAGTCAACCCCTCTGACTGGTAATGCAGGGAGACTGTGTTCCTCCATCATGGAATAGGAAGTATTGGGCTGAACAGAGGAAGCCTGTGTTTCCTCCTCCATAGATGACTCGGTCCCAGTCAGCTCATTTTCAGCTGTGTCCCAGGATAGTGTGTTGGGTCCAGTAAGATGCACAGGAGTCTGAATAGGCCCACTGTGGAGGAATCGATGGAGAAATCCACTGTGTCCACTGCCATTTCTGCATTTGGTGTTGTTGTGGTTCTGCATATGGAGGACTCTGTGCTGGCCCTTTCCTCCCTGTCATCACTAAATCTGGTGGATATTTGTGATGCTGGTGTCAAGGAGAACAGGGAACATTTGGACTGTGGCGTGCTGTTGGTAACAAATAGTGGTGAACATGGTACTGATGCTACTATGAGGTCGACCTCTTATGAACCTCGGTACCAGAGTACGTGGAGGCATTGCTATGTATTTCCTTATAGCTGCCTGCGTCTCTACTGTTGGCGCTTTGAAATGTGCCAGTACTGGCGGTACCAAGCATTTATTCAAATGCAGCATTCTACTGCTCTTCAGCTTGCCAACTTGTTTGTTCCTCAGCAGAACCATGTTCTCCACTGGTGCCACATTACTGTGGGGAGAGCTTGAAGCATGGCCTGCAGCTCCATGCTTCATATTGGGTCATGGCTTTTCTTTAAGCTGGATCCCCTGTCCTGCTTTTGGGAGCTCTGCCTACTGGCATTCTTACCAGCCTCCTTTGTCTTTGTTAGAGGCTGAGGCACAGCAGGGTATTGGGAGTATTTTGTGCTCCACTCTGGGTGCTGTCCTCTAGCACATTCCTACTAGGGAATGCTCCTCCTTCCCAAGAGGGTTCCCCCCTGGGAGAGTGGGACGGAGGGGTGAATGAGGCTGTGACTCAGCCATGTTGTGGTCCAAGAATAATAGCCTTCTTTGTAGGTCTCGCTTCCTTAGAGCATGGGGTGAGCTTTTGACAGTGTGGGCAGTGACTGATGGGATAGTCTTGCCCTAGGCAGCACAGACACTGCTTGTGTCCGTCTGCTGCTGTGACTGCTGTTCTGCACCCTGTGCACCTTGTAAAGCCCAGTGGTGCGGGCATGACTTTTTTTCTTCTTGTGCTATCCTATGGGCCAGCGGGATGTGGCAGAAACACCTGCGTGGCACTTGGCCCACTTCTCTTGCTGTTATCCTTTTCCTTTTTTTAAATCTTCTCTCTTCTCCACCCTTCCCCCCCCGATGCTGTTAGGGAGACTAAGTGCAACTGATGCCCGCGGTGGTTGAGAAGGAACTGAGGGAGGCTGCTGGCGTGTCTGTCAATCTGAGTGATTGTGCAATAGCACAGCACACGCCAGCAGCTGGGGGACTGCTAACAAAGATCTCTGGGCCGTGTGCACAGCAGTGCTGACACACGTAAGTGGAGCACCAACAGTGATCCCCAAACATAAGAATACAGTCAAATTGTCAAACCTTCCCACAGTAGGTCAGCGCCATTTTTCAGAGATACAGCATCTTCCACCATATTTTCTTTTCCCTTTATATGCACAATTTCTATATTAGTTCTTTTTCTGCTACAATCTATTTTAAGTTTTGTATAAGCTATTATAAAGAATAATATTGTAATAATTTAAGTACTTTGTGTTTTATGATTATGTTTCATATCCTGCCGACTGTTTGGTAGAGATGCATCTGGCAGATTGCTTATATCAGATGTCAAGGTAGGCATAAACCCTTCTGGTCACCATTTTGTTTTAGACTTACAACAAAAATTGTAAAAGAATGTGGTGACTGTTCTTCTTAAAACTGTAACTTTATGTTCCTGTTCAAATTTTCATATTGCTTCTATGCAACAAAAGTCAATTCTGTTGTGTGAATGAAGAATGTAAGTGTTAAGAGATAAAACTGTGAACACCATCACTGGACCAGATGTTCTAACAAGGAACCGGGGACAAATGCAAAGGTGCTGGTGATTGCTGTATAACCCCACTGAGATGTGAGAAGAGGGCAAATTGAGGACTCTGAGGCTATGTCTACACTCGCGGCTTCTTGCGCAAGTAATATGCAAATGAGGCTAAGCGTGGAATATCACCGAGCCTCATTTGCATACCTAATGAGCCACCTTTTTTTCAGAAGAGGTTCTTGTACAAGAAGGTGCGTCTACACTGCCCCTTGTGCAAGAAAAACCCTCTTGCGCAACGCCGTTCGAGGGTTTTTCTTGCGCAAGAAGGGGCAGTGTAGACGCTCCTTCTTGTGCAAGAGCCTCTTCTGAAAATAATGGTGGCTCATTAGGCATGCAAATGAGGCTCAGCGATATTCCACACTTAGCCTCATTTGCATATTACTTTCGCAAGAAGCCGCGAGTGTTGACAGCCTCAGAGAGGAGGCAAGCACCTATTAGTTGGTACAAGATAGCTATAATCAAAACTAGCACAATAAAACAACAGATAAGGGATGAGTAGAACTTAAGAAAACAAGCACTCGTCAAATGGCAATTGATTATGGCATGGGTAGGTTTAGAAGTTAAAATAAAACAAGTTAAAAATTACTAAGAAAAGTTAGATGTCTGCAAGTCACCAGGGCCTGATGAAATGCATCCTATAATACTCTAGGAGCTGATAAAGGAGGTATCTGAGCCTTCAGCGATCACCTTTGAAAAATCATGGAAGTCAGGAGAGATTTCAGAAGACTGGAAAAGGGAAAATATAGTGCCCATCTATAAAAAGGGAAGTAAGAATAACCCAGGAAGCTACAGACCAGTCAGTTTAACTTCTGTGCCTAGGAAGATAATGGAGCAAGAATTAAGGAATTCATCTGCAAACATCTGGAAGAAAATAAAGTGATAGCTAACATCCAGCATAGATTTGTAAAGAACAAATAAAGCAATCTGCTTTCTTTGATAGGATAACAAGTCTTGTGGATAAGGGAAAAGAGGTGGACGTGGTATATCTAGACTTTAGTAAGGCATTTGACAGGCTCTCGCATTACCATCTTATCAATAAAGTAGGGAAATACAACCTAGATGGAGCTACTATAAGGTGGGTGCATAACTGGCTGAAGAATAACTTCTGAGAATGGTTGTGAACTCTTAACCATTCTGGAAGGGCATAACAAGTGGGGTTCCATAGGGATCTGTTTTGGGGCCAGTTCTGTTCAAAATTTCCCTGCCTGTCAGAGTGGTGAACCACTGGAATAAACTGAGTAGGGGGGTTGTGGAATCTCCATCACTGGAGATATTTAAAAGCAGGTTAGACACCTGTAAGGGATGATCTTCTAGACTGTGCTTGGTCCTGCCGTGAGGGCAGGGGACTGTACTCTATGACCTTTCAAGGTTCCTTCCAGTTCTAGTGTTCTATGATGATGCAAAACTCACTGATCCCACTGAAGGAAAATTACTATAAAAAAAAGGGACTGCTTTGTCATGAATTTTGACTAAGTCTTGCCACTGGAGCCTCAGTCTGAACCAAAAAAACCTGATTCCTCACCTTGTACTTAGCCTGCTTGGCTGCCAGGGTAATACAAGCATCAGACTGATAACTATAAACATCAACTGGCAGGACATGTGTGCATGCATGCATGTCTCTATGCTAGCTGCTTTTGTATTATACTCTTAATCAACTCAGTATATTGCCTTTTCCCCTGTAAAAATCCTGTGTGCTTCTTATAAGCATAACAAAATTTTGGTAGTACAAGGCTCCAGGGTAGCATTTTAGAATCTGAGCCTTTACTTCTGTTTAGTCTGTTAAGAACCTGAACTGTCCATTAAGAAGATATGGTTTCAGTTGCTTAACTACCCACACCAGAGGGTGAACATATGAATACAAACCGTCACAGTGTCCTACTGCCTTCCCACTGATGCATCTAGTTACACATCATCAAGTGGGCACATCTTGGTTTTCACTAAGGTATATTCTAGTCTACACTCTGCTGCAAGCAGAATCCTGAACGGGTCATCCGCATTCCCTGGCATTCACCTCCACTAACGATCAACTTAGATCAATTGAAATCCACTTTTTATGCATGTTGTTTGTCCCAATAAAGAGATAAATACCTAGTATGAATGTAGAATAGACTTAGGCAGCAAAGGGTCAACCAGGAAGCAAGCAGAGCCAGGAAATACTCTAACCATTACCTCTTCACCAGGATCATATCATAGTATCCATATATCTAATTTTTCAGTTACACTTCCACTTCAAACTAATGAAGTAGTTTGAATTTTAGCTCTGAGCTAGGCACTGGACTTGGTTCAAATCTAATTTCACAAAGCTAGTTTGCAGATGTGAAGTCTACTGCTAATGGATATTAGTCACCACCATGTAATAGCAGCAGGTAGGATGAAAGCATAAAACTGATGGCATATTATAAACCCTACAGTTCTGTCATTTCTTTACCTGTCAAATTAGATTTTAACTGATCCAGTTGTGAGGACATGAGTGCAAACTGCTCTTCTTTTTGGTTTAGTTTTTTAATCATATCTGTGGAAATAAAATTATATTTAAAAAATAAAGTTAATTTTCCAATAGTTGCAGCTCACTTTTTAAAGCAAACTTTACTGACCAGGAATATACATTACTCTTGAATAAAACAAGGAGGAGACAAAAAAAATCCTGTTTTATTCCTAACTGCAGAGACTAATCCTGCTAAATTATGAAATACAGGATCAAGGGGGAAAAAAATTCTACACTTTTAGTAGGTTTTGAAGGGATTCATTTTGATTCCAGGGAAGCATACCTTGCATAGATTTTTGAACACTTTCCGCCTCTTCAGCAGCACTAGTAAACTTTCCTTTCTAGAAGGGAATGCAAACCCAAGAAAAGTTTTAACCAATTGGAATGACATAGTATTATTCAAATACAAACTTAACTGAAAATAGTGCAAGCCCATACGCAGAAGGGTGCAAAGGGTGTGAACGCAACCCCCCACACCTCTTCATGGTTCACCATGGGGCCTATTCCAGTCGGCCTGGGGAAGGCAAGGGCAGCACATTACCCCAGCCTACCTCCCCCATGCTCCGGCCAGTTGGGAAAGGCTGGAGCTGATTCCCTCCTTCCCTCACACAGGAGTGAGGTTGGTGGCGGAGTTGGCCGGAAGGAGGACAGTGGCAGCCCTGTAGCAGTACTATTTTTTCAATTCTTGATTTGATCATTACCCACTGTGGTCACACAGGTATTAGAAGGTTTCTACTTGTGCCATATTTTGAATCTGACAACACAGAAAAAAAATAAAAAAGAAAACAAAGAAAAGGAAAAATCCTCTCCTTAGTTTGAAAGGCAGTCCATAGACATAAAAAAGGAACTTTTGTAATCTAGAGAAGAAAGGAGCAGCAGTAGCATAGTTTGGTGTGGGAGAGGTGGTTCACAGGTTTTGCAAAGTTAGCGGGCAAGACCTCGATTTAAAAAAAATTAGCTCAGAGGCTGCAGTGGAATTGTCTTGTATGTCTCAATCTTTCCCTGCCATGATGGCAGGAAGAGATGAAAAGTTAGTGATGTCTGAGGAAAGGTCAGAACACAGATTGAGAAACCGCATTATTTTCTCTGTCATCATACGATACAGCTATGATCTCAAAAAGAACACATGGAAATAATGAGACATATCTTGTTTCCTCCTAAATTTGGGATAATCTCAGTAGGAGCTAGCCCAAATAGATTCCCTGCCATGATGGCAGGAAGAGATGAAAAGTTAGTGATGTCTGAGGAAAGGTCAGAACACAGATTGAGAAACCGCATTATTTTCTCTGTCATCATACGATACAGCTATGATCTCAAAAAGAACACATGGAAATAATGAGACATATCTTGTTTCCTCCTAAATTTGGGATAATCTCAGTAGGAGCTAGCCCAAATAGAGAATACTGACAAATTTATTACATTGCAAAACAAGAAGTGAAAATTTGTTATTCAAAAGTTACTTGTAAATAACACAATGAAGTAGTTAGTTAACTCATGTTAAAGAGCTATAGCTACCCTTAACTATTCTAAAAATATGTTGTATGATCTATTTAATCTGCCTCGTTTTTATTGTAAATCAATAACAGATGAACTCTGCTTAGGCTACAGCTTGATAATGTGAAAGTTAATCTTACTGTATTTTTTCCCATTTTGAAATCAGATATACAAAGCATGAGGACTCAAGTCTGTATTCCTTACTTAGATAAAAGTTCCTTTGAAATGACTAAGATTTTTGCTTGAGTAAGGATAGTAGTTACATTTGACACTTAGAATCTAACAGCAATGATTTCCCCTTAAAAAGTTCAAAGAGAACCCAATGGGTAGAGGGAACATTTCTGAGAATTACTCACCAAAAGTTGAAGCTCCTTTTCCAAAGATTCTTTAACTTGATTTACTGCACTCAAGTTTTTCTCAAGGTCAAGAAGCTTTTGCTCTTTGCCCTGCAGTTCTTTGGCCAGATTACTAGCCTGGCAGGGTGATTAGATGGAGTAAAACAAAAATTACAAACATGAATGGAAAAAATAAAAACATAAAACCTTGAGCTTCAAGGAAATAACCAAAATGTTCAAACCACCATATGAAGAAAAATTAAAAAACCAAACAAAAATTAAAGGAAAAGTGTTGTGTTAACTAAATAGAGCGGATTAGCTGATTTAAACAGGAGGCTGCACTAAAGTACTAACTGTATCTCACAAAAGTTTCTAATAATTCTTG